TAGGCAATACCCAATCACGTCGAGTCCGTGGCTCCTCTTGCCGTCCCTTGTGAGCATTGCTATGCTGATGAAGGCTAGATTATTTTAGTGAGTTTTGCAAAGGAAGAGGCCTATTTGAAGGTTCTCAGAAAAGACATAGCATTATTTTATAAACTGACTTCTTGTTTGAGGTGAATCTTAGTTCTTTCAAGCGGAATACTGTACAACATACCTTAAGGTTGGAAAAGTCATTAAAAGGACACTTACTTTACCACCCCCATCTAATGTTTGTACTACCTCTGTATTTCTGTGTACTCTTGAACGTCTTCAAAGCAGAGCTACAAACTAAATGCAGGTCTTCTGGTTCCTCACCATTATTTTTTTTTTTTGCTATAAGTATTCATCTACATGTCCTCTACTCCTTAATGGAGTCTCTCTCTCCCTCATACAGGTACATGCATACATACATACATACAGATATGATTAATAAAGACATGGGAGCATGGATGGTGTCTTCAAAGCCCTAGGCACGTGGAGTTCATCAAGCTATGCTACAATCCTCATAGACTTAAGGTGAATGTGATTGTGGCAGTCTAGCAGTCCCACCAAACGAATTAATTGACGAAGTGGTGAGAATAAAGTAATTAAGATGATGATCTTGATAATTAGCCATCTAGTAATTGAGAATGAGTAGACAAATAGTTAAAGAATGACCAAGGATTGTGAAGTTGCTGAAATTTCTAAGGTCTTTACTTTTGGATACCTCAGAAATCAGTCTATTATAGAATTGGGTTATTGGGCTATGAATGGAAACAGGGTATTCCAGTTACTACAGCTACAAAACAAACCTCCCCAATCTTAATGTGTAAAACAACCCTTTTATTACATTCACAGAATCTGTTGGTCAGGCATTCAGAAAGGGCAGAGCCAGGACAGTTTTCTTTTTTCTTCTTCCTTTTTTATTTTTGTCCACAATATCTGGTGGCTTAGCTAGGAAAACTCAAAGTAACAAAATGGAAAACTGGAGGTAACAAAATGTCTGGGAGCTGAAATCATCTGAAAGCTTGTTAACTCATATATCTGATAGGAAATGCAGGCAGCAGCCTTCAACCTTGACTAGGGCAATTTTGCCTGAATTCTAAGAGCATCAGTCTCAAAAGGACCAGGCAGCAACTTTCTTGCCTTTTATAACCTGGACTCAGAAGCGAGGTACACATGACTTCTGCTGTAATCACAAGTGCACCCAAAATCAAGGGGGAGAGAACATAGATTCCCCTACTTCTCAGTGGGAGGAGTGCTAAGGATACAGTGTAAGAAAAGCATGTGAGGGGCTGGCCCCGTGACCGAGTAGTTAAGTTCGCGCGCTCCGCTGCAGGCGGCCCAGTGTTTTGTCGGTTCGAATCCTGGGCGCGGACATGGCACTGCTCGTCAGACCAGGCTGAGGCAGCGTCCCACATGCCACAACTAGAGGAACCCACAACGAAGAATACACAACTATGTACCGGGGGGCTTTGGGGAGAAAAAGGAAAAAATAAAAAATCTAAAAAAAAAAAAAAAAAAAAAAAGATGTGAATTATACAATTTCTTGCTATCTGCCCTCTGGCTACCTAAATTCATATATTCACATGCAAAATGTACTCTTGATCCCCTCCAAAATCCCCAAGTCTAATCCGATTATAGAATGAACTTCAAGTTAAGGATCTTATCTAAATTAGGTTCAAGTGCAGATGGAGCTCTTTAAATGTGATACTTGGGTGCAGCTCCTTCAATACCATTTTTCTCAATCTGAAAACCTGTGAACGAAAGTTATCTGTCCTACACACACCCAATACTCAATGGTAGGATATCCATAAAACGATTGCTACAGACACTTTCATTAAAAGGAGTGAAATAAGAGACATATTGTAAGCATTATGCCGTCACAATTTTGAAATCTAGCATGTTTCTTGATTAAACCAAGTCCTACTGCCTAAGAGTTGTTTTCTGTGGCTCTTTCCTTTTCCCTCCAAGCTCCTGGTTCCACCTTCTGGACTCCTGACTTCCCCTTCTGAGTCTTCCTTTCTTTTCTATAAGAAACAGCTCGTGCTTGCAGCTGAGTAGTCCTCTCAGCCTGCTTCTCCTTAGCACAGTGGCTGGGTCCCAAGAGTGAAAGTACCAAGAGAACCAGATAGAAATTGTATCGCCTTTTGTAACCTAACCTTGGAAATCACATAGCATCATTTGTGTTGTAGTCACAGCTCTCCAGATTTCAGAAGAGCAAACATCATAGACCTTACATCTCAATGAAGTATTATAGACAAATTTTCAGAAGAGTATGTGGGATTGTACATAATGACTGTTTCCTCTTCCAACTCCTTCAGGCCTACTGGTGTTAATAGCAACCCACCAAGGCTAGTTTCTTAGTGTTTCGCCATCTTTTCTTTGTTCCCATAACCTTTCCCACTCCTTTGTAAATAGTTCCTTCACTAAAATGTCTTTAAACTCTTTGAGGTACCATCTATTTCTCACCTTGCCCCTGATTGATACAATCAGTCTTGTAGACTTAATTTGGTTCAATATATAATCACTGGGTACCTATTTGTGCAGGTATGAGATAAATAAAAAGGGGATCGTCTCAGTATTAGTTATCTGTTGTATGTAACAAATCACACCAAAATTTAGCGACTTTAAAAAAATTTAGTATTCTTAGTTTCTGTGAGTAAGGTGTCTGGGGGCAACCTAGGTGAGTCCTTTGGCTCAGGGTGTCTCATAGTCTACAGTCCAGGTGTCAACTGGGGCTGCAGTTATCTCAAGACTTGACCAGGAGAGAATCTGCTCCCAAGCTCACTAATATGTTAATCAGAGGCCATCCTCAGCTTCTTGTCATATGGACCACTTCGTAGGGTAGCTCATACATGACAGCTGGCAATGGCCAGAGAAAGCAAGTGAGAGTAAGAGAGGACAAATTAGACAGAAGGCAGAATCCTTTTGTAGCCCAGTCTCTAAAGTGACATCTCATCATTTTTGCCATAGTCTGTTTACTAAAAGCAAGTCACTGGGTCCAGCCCATAGAAAAGGGGAGAGGGTTACACATGAACATGAAGATCAGGGGGTGGGCATCATTGGGACACATCTTAGAAGCTGCCCACCATATTCCCTAACCTGCCCAGTGTGCCTGCTGTGTCCCTCCCCACAGCTTGTAAGAATGACCCGTTAAGATTTTTGAGGGTACAGCCTCCAAACCCTCCTACCACTTCCTTTTTATGTCAGAAATCAGCACATAACTAGTTGCCCTTCCTTTTTAACACACTTGCCACAAAGGTATGCATCAATTAGAACTTCACTACATCACTTTTAAATAAAAATCATCACATAAAGGAAGGAAAAAGAGACACAAATATCTCAATCAGCAATTTCTTGACGTTAATTGCTAAATCACCCATCTTTTTCCTCATTCTAACGGAATCTAACTATATGCAGCCCCTGCTCTATGCTGTGCCCCCCAATTCATAGTGGGCAAAAAGGACAAACTCATTTGAGCATGGAATATTCAGTAGTCCCAGCAGAGACTTACGCCCTTAAACATGGAGTTAGAATAAATTTAATTTTTTTCCCTTTGTTATAGCCTACTATAGACATTTCTATTTTGTAAAGCCATGTCATCTTTTCCTTGAAAAGAGCATTTGTATGATGGAAGGGAGTTTCTAAGTATAATTAGATTTCCAAAGGGATCAGCAGTAGATGTAAACTTCAAAATGATGTAATTTACACCACTGAGCTTCTTTTGACCTGTAAGTTTACAACACACCTGCCGTCACTTTCTTGCTCAATCTTGGACGATATGGAGTATCAGTCTTTGAAAGAAGACAGACGACTTCACAACATAGCAGGCCTCCAGGGCTCCTCAACGATAGGGTACCAGAAGAAATTGCATTTTGTTTTTGAAGTGCTGGTCAATAAATAACTCTGCAGCTCTGAGCTCTTTTTTAATTCTCTTAAATCTCAAAACCAGTTAAGATATGAGGGCTCTCTTAAGAAAGAAATAGTGTGGTACTGAACAGATTATAAATTAACAGCCAGTAAATTTAATTGAGCCCCCTTTAACCTGGTGAGCCTAAAGAGATATTTTTAAAGCAGAAAGAAAAAAGAGGAAGAGAAAAAAATTGTGCTCACTAGACCAACTTTTCCAATCTCTCTGGGCATTAATCTTGTCCTTTTTAATAAGAAGTTCTTATTAGTTATTGCATTTTCAAATGAAACAACATCACATTCAAAAGGGTTCATTTTAGCACCGATTTTTATCTCCTGAGTTTGTAATAGAAAAATTGGATTCAATACACAGCAAATTATACTACTCTATTACAGAGGTAACTTAACATTGCTCTCTTTATTGATTTCTTTCCCTTTTTTCCTTAAAATAAATTCAAATCTCTCCTTCATTGAAATATATGCATTGTTCTGAGAGACTGGTTTATATTCACTGACTCCACTCTCATAGCCTTGACTCCCAATATGACTAAATGGTTAGCCTTGACTCTCTCCTGAAACCATTATCTTCAATTTTATGTTATCTTTCTCCCAAGACTCTTAAAAATTTAATGGCACTTTGATACAAACCAAATAAACTTTCCAACTTTCTTCCCAATTCCAGATCTTGTCTTTGATTTGATTACACCCTATCATCTCTTAAAATGTGCTACTTTCTCTCAAAGGTACCTCCCTTCCCATGAGTGGTTTCTTGATCCTCTCTTGCCTTATCTCCTGAGCTTTCCTCCATTTCCATGTTTCAGTCACCCTATGGTCCAAGTTCTCATTACTCTGTGTCTAGATTAAGGCAACAGCCTCCCAGATAATATTCCTACCATTCCCCCCTCCCCCAGTTGTGTATCAGAGCCAGTTTGTAAAGATTTATGAGAGTGGTTTCTTAAATTTTCAGGAACTGTGCAAGCTGGTAATAAGGCAATTATTAGACATTAAAATATATAAACTTACACTTAAATAAATTATATTTAAAATAAAGGTAATAAACATGCATATCTCACCACTTCCTACTTTGCTGCATCTTCCTATTTTCTGTGGTCTTGAGTTTATTTACATCGATTATATCTGTAGAATGGAAACAATATAATGAAGGATTACTGCATATCTCTTCCAAATTCTGCATCAAATGATGTCTGAAATCAGCCATGAAGGGAGCATTTACACCACAGAAACTGGTGAATACTACAAATCAGGACTTTGGTTTTTAGAGAGGAAGTTGTTGAGCATTTGCCAGTAGGTTTTTGCTGTTGTAAAGTGACATCAGTCTCCTCTGCCTCATCTCTTCCTTGGGGAAGAGCCCAGGATTGGATCCAGGTGCTGTATTAGTCAGAGTTCTCTAGAGAAACAGAACCAATAGGATATATTTAGATACATACAGATATAAATACAGTCATGTGCCACACAACAATGTTTTGGTCAATGATGGACCACATATACCGTGGTCGCATAAGATTAGTACCATATAGCCTAGGTGTGTAGTAGCTACACCATCTAGGTTTGTGTAAAAACACTCTACTATACTCATACCATGAAATTGCCTAAGGAAATAATAAGCGACACATGACTGTATATATATATTACTGTGTATATATATATATATATATATATATATATATATATATGGAGATTTATGATAGGATTTGGCTCACACTCTAACGGAGTACAAGAACTCCCAGGATCTGATGTCTGCAACCTGAAAAACTAGAAAAGCTAGTGATGCAATTCATTCCAAGTCCAAAGCCTGAGAACCAAGAAGGCTGATGCCCAAAGGCAGGAGAAGATGGATGTCCCAGCTCAAGTAGTGAGATCAAATTCACCATTCTTCCATCTTTTTGTTCTATTTGGGCCCTCAGTGGATTGGATCATGCCCATCTGCATTAGGGAGGGCAATTTCTTTACTAACTCTGCTGATTCAAATGCTAATCTCTTCTGGAAATATCCCCACAGACACAACCAGAAATAATATTTTACCAGTTATCTGGGCATTCCTTAGCAGAGTCAAGTTGACATAAAATTAACCCTCACAGGTACACTTGGCCAGTCAGTGAGGATCTGTGGTTTAATAACAGCAGAAAGGATATCTCTGGCCTGTAACCACGGTTTCAGGGAAGACATAGACACAGAGACAAGAGGCAAGATGGAATAGAACAGGGGACAAGGCTGTTAAGTCTGAGAACAGGGTCTAATTGACAAGGCCTGAGACAGCTAAGCTCAATAACTTGGACAATGAGCTTGCTTATTTCAAGTAATAACTCCACCTCTATTTCATCTAAATTGCCCTAGATAAGATGAGAAAAAAAATGAAGATCTGTGTTTATTAGATAGAGGATATACCACGTAGAACATCCAGGCCTTATGGCCGAAAAATCAGAAAATCTGTGCACTTAGCTACAAAAAAAGTTAAACATCTTCCATGTTGAATTTTACTGCACACGTTTTTCTTGACGTTATGAAATTCTCCGGTCATTCTTTTTTTTTTCCTCTCTTGTAGTTAACTTTAAACAAAATCATCAAGAAGCTGATAAGTCGTGACTATAATTTAAATTAGGAAAAATACTTTGTGGTTGTCTCTTGAAGTATAGTCAGCAATGTGAATTGGAAAAATCCCATTCAGTAAGTGTGCTCAATCTCTTTGATGTTTATTGTATAATTTCTCTGTCTCAAATGCAAGACGGTTAGAACTTTCATCTTTCCTCCCGTCTCATTATTTGTGATTCATAAATTTTGGTTGAAAGTATCTTTAGTAGAACTTTTTAGAAAAACTTTTTACATTGTATCATAATATCAGTTATTTGATAGCATAACTTATTATCCAGAAGAATTTCAATAATCCTGAATTGCTATTACATTGCATATATAATGTTACATTAATTATTTCCAAATAAAATAACTTTTCTAAAAACCTTAAAGACCAAATTGGTTACCATGCTATGATAATTACTTTGATAGATCTCATTATCAAGAAAGATAGCAGTAAAATATTTTATTAAAAATGTTTCATACATATTGTTAACATTAGCTATTATGTATCTTCATTTTAGTTTCTAAACCCTAATGAAAGTAATTTATAATATTAGCTGTATTTCATAGCTCTGAATTCCATATCTGTGTTTCTCCAAATTTCAAGACTTAGCCTCCAAAACCAATTTTCCTTCTAACTGGCCATAGAGAAAAGAATTCCCTATAAATAAAGATAATGCAGAAGTGAAAACCATTTGTAATTAAACAGTTGGAACTAATGTAACAAGAAAAATGTTTTTATTTTTATATTTTTCCTACTTATTCAAATCTGTTACAGTGAACATGCACCAAAAAAAAGGAATTGAGAGGTGATTATTAAAATAAAATTATTTATTAAATTATTAAATATAATAAGTAATTATATTTACTAGTGTATTATTAAAGGATTAACATTAAACTGATGGTCTCGCAGGAACCAGAAAACAAAACAAATTAGTTGCATATCACTTTCTGCATTTCTTTCAAAATCTCAGCACTATTTCTTCTTTGAAGAATTAGAGAAGCTAACCTTCATCTCCATCCATATGCACTTTAAATTCGTCTTCCACATTTTCTTTAACGAGAACTTGATGTTAGTAAGTCTAACGATAGGGTCAACTTCCACTTAAGTTGTTTGTTTAATGGCTAAAATCCTCCCAAGGTCTCTGGACCCAGTTATCTTGCCACATGCATCTTAAAAGCTGAACAGGGAACCCAGCAAGAGAGTGGAAGTGAATAAATCAATGTCTACGCATCTGTAATCTTACAAAAAAGACACAAAATGTGTGACCTTTTGATAATGGTTCAGTAACAGCATATAGTATTATGCAATGCAAAGGACAGTGTACACAAGCGGGGTGAAAATAGGAATATTACTGAAGTCTGCAAACCTAGGTTTGAAACTTACACGGGCAACTTGCAGCTTTACGATCACAAATGAACGACTCAGCACTCTGCTCTTTGTTTTAAAAATTAGCGTACTTGTCACTAAGTGATGCTGTGTACATTAATTCATGTAACATAAAAGCACCCACTCTTATTGATAGATATTAATTCACACAATCCCTTTGAATCTGTTTTATTTCATCCCACTCAAGTTCACAAATGCCACTCTAACTGGAAAAGCATTTACCTTTATTTCCAGCATTTCACTAACACATAATTGTATATCCTCACTAGTCTACATTGTTAGAAAATAGAAGATATTTGTCACACCTTTAAGATGGATAACACTTCCTCCTACTGAAAGTAGGAAGGAGTAGTGGAAAGAAGACTGAACTATATATTCTGAAGATGATGACGCTAGCTGAGCTTGACAATACTGTGTTAACTGATTGCATACTCTTTCCATTTCATCAAATAATTTTCTGCATCCACTAGGAGCTAATTTGATCTGGGTGCTAGGGATATGATGACGAGAAAGAAAAAATATTCCTAGCTTTTTCCCAGCTCAGAGTCTAATGAGAATAACAGACAATTAAACTAGCAATTACAATTAAGTGTGATTTTATAGAAGAACTAGAGTTTTTAGTGGGAATGCACAGCAGGGATCCTCAAGAAGGTCTAGGATCTGGGGTACAAGGAAGATTTCACAGAGGAAGTGACATCGAAGATTTCCTTCCATACTCCCCCTAACTCACTATGTTCAGCGCCAAAAGACTTCTTTCTATTCCTCTGTCAATCAAGGCCTTTCCTTTATTGAAATGTTCTCATTCCAGTTCTTCATGTAACTTGTTCTTGCTCATTACTCAAATCTCAGCTAACCTCCACTCTTCAGAGTGAACATTCTGAATTCACATCTTAAGCAGTCACTAACACATCACCCTGTTTTATTCTCATCATTACATGCACAGCGGACTGAAATGATCTTCACATAGGGCTGGGTTAACTAGATATTATCTGTTTCTGGCACTGGATAGGAACTCTAGAAAGATAGGAGGCCCTGTTAACTTAATCCCTGTTGAACCATCAGAACGTAAAAAATTGCGGGTGATCAATAATTATTTGTTGAATAAATGAATGAATCTTCTTTGATTATCTCACAGAACATTTAGAGAATCAAATAAGTAACAATTAACAACACAGTGGCAAATGCACTGACATTTATATACTATTTTTCAGACTACAAAATAATTTGATATATATTATCCCACTTGAATCTTGTGTCAGTTCTATGAAGGAAGGCTGGCACAACTGAGCAAGCAAAAGCTTGTGGAGCTCAAGAGAGTTTGTCAAGGTCTGAAAGATAGTGTGTAAATAATAGCAAAGCTGAAATGAAATACAGATCTTCAATGAACAATTTAATTCTTTCACTATACCACATGGAAATCCAAATGTTTTATCTATATATGTATGTTTGTAAATACTAGACCTGCACAGCGCAGAACTCCAAATAAACAATAAATTCCAAACTCATCAGCCAGCTCTTAATTTAGTTTAACTGGCAAATGATCAATCCCCAGATATTAATGATGAATCCCCGCATTAGTTCCCTTTCCCCATGCAATATGTTGCAACATTCCGACAACAGTAGCATATTTTTACCATAGAAATGTTCTTTAAACTGAATGAAGAGAAAAAGTAATTAGTCATTAGCTATTAGTCTGCACAGTCATGTGGCTGCTTGTGATATGTCAGATGCCCAGATGAGACTTGGCAGAGAAACATGGAATTGAATAGAGAACTGAACGTGCAATATTCTTCAAACAATGTGTAACGATATGCGAGAGGCTCAGCAGTGAGGCAAACTGATGAGAGAGCCATGCAAATTCTCACAAAGAGAGGGTCTCGATTACAAATAGCATTGGGATAAATTAATTAACATGCACTCCACCAATTCTCTAGGAATATTCAAATTCAAAGCCATTTGGAAATCTAAAAATATAATTTACCTTAATTTTCTGAGAAGTAATGCAAAGTTATAATTACTGAGCTTTGTCCCTAAATGCATATTTTTCTCCTGTGAAGGTTAGGCATTGGCGGAGGAAAGGAGGGAGGGAGACGCTCAACTCCATCTTTTAATCCATTATTCACTCAAGATAGGGACAAAACCTCAGAGAATATAA